TTGACCACTTTTGGAATGTTCTTGATCTCTCTGCCCCTCAGGGCTAACTGTTTCGCGCGGAGATTGTGATACAGCCCAATAAAATAAAAATAGATATGTGAAGTGAGCTCTCTCTCTCTTTTTTCTTAACATTTTCTCTGTGATACATTGAGTTTTTATTACTCATTTTAGAGAAGGACCCACCAACAGTTTGGCTTTTGACCCCTACGCACCTGGTAGGAGCTGGAGGTCACAGGATTAATGCCATATTCTGTGTCACCCCATTTCTCAGGTAATAACATGCAGGCCTGAAGCTAAAGTGAAATTTCTAGCAGCTTCTAATTTTTTTTTTAATTGAAGTATAGTTAACCCTAGCCACTATTTTGATTTAGCTCTTGATTGTCAACGTAGAAGTAGTTCAAGAACCCTGAGTTGTTGGTATCCTATCCTGCACTGCAAAGTTCTTAAAATATCATATAAGCTCTGCTTGTCGCCACAGTGGCAAATACAGTTAGGAACCAACTTTGTTGAGGCAGTATTCTGCAAGGTTGATCACGTTCCTGGTTTGCTCTCTCGGGATTTGAGAATCTTCATGGATTAAATGTTACAAATATTTATTAAGCATTTACTATGTGCTAGGTAGTGTCCTGGGTGCTTGGGCTATATCAGGGAACAAACACAGATTCCTGGCCTTGTGGGGCTTATTTCTATTCTAGCTAGGGAAGATAATAAACAAAATACAATAAATAGATTATGTAATATATTAAGGCAATAAGTGCTTCGGGCAAAGAGAGAAAGTAGATCAGAGTAAAGAGCACTCGGGAGAGTGGGGGTGGAGGAAGTGGGCTGTGATCGGGTGGTCAGTGTAGTCAGGAGGTGGTCATTGAGAAGGTGACTGTTGGACAACTCAAGGGAGGTGATGGAGTTACCATGTGGATGTCTATGGAAGACAGCATTTCTGGAGGAGAGGAGAACCAGTGCAAAGGACCTGATGTGAGACCATGCCTAGAACAGCAAGGAGGCCAAGGTGGCTGAAGTAGGAGAGTATGGGAGGAGAGGGCAGACAGGTGGCAGGTTCTAGGTCTGAAGAGCCCTGAATGCCATGCTAAGGATTTTGCCTTTTACTCTGAGTGAAAGGAGGAGTGAACCACAGGAGGTTTTTGAGCCAAGGAATGAAATGATTATGATGAGGGAGCAGAAGGTTGGCTGAAGACAAAGCGTAAGCTGACACCCGGCAACCTCCCCCTGCAGACTCCTGGGTGGGACATGTGTGCCATTCTCCCAGGAATCTCCCAACTATCTTAATGTTAATGCCTTGCTAGAGGGGGGAAAAATAACCTTAACTTGACAATGGCAAGGCCTCTGGTATCTTGTAGGTCCTCCTTAGCATATGAAAGTTCTTTTGAAACCTCCCTTTTTCCTTACCTCCCCCAACCCCATAGTGTATAATCAGTCACCCCTCACAACCCCAGGGCAGCAGCTCATTCTGCCCACGGGTCTCGTCTCTGTGCTTTAATAAAATCACCTTTTTGCACCAAAGACGTCTCAAGAATTCTTTCTTGGTCGTCGGCTTTGAACCCTAATAACGTCTTTCCTACATCAATTAGACTTAAATTTTAACGGAATCACCCCGGCTGCTAGGTAGGAATAAAAGACTGTATTAGAGTATCACCAAAAGTCATGAACCCTAAATATATAAACATTTTTTTCTCTCTGGATATATTTTGAAAGTAGAGAGAACCAACTAGTTTTGCTGATAGATCAGATGTGGGGTGTGAGAATAAAAGTTAAGTCAAGGACAATGCGGAGGCCTTTGGCCTGAGCACCTGGCAGAAGGAAATAAGCATTACCTGAGACAGGGAAGGCTGCACCGGGTCAGATGGGGCCCATTTCATCTAAGTAATGTTTTCTGTGGTTCTCATCCACGTGTGCTCATCGCAGTCACGCGGTGGCAACTTTGCCAATTACACTTGCCCAAGAACGCCAGAGATTCTGCTTTAGTAGATTTGGAGTAGGGCCCCAAAGTATGTATTTGATGCACTTTGAGAATCACAGAACTGTAAAACACTATTTGGTACCGTTCTGTATTTAAAATTGGGAACTCCATAACGAAACAAGTGAAAGGGTTTATAGACAACTCTCTCACTGTCTGGGATGAACTAGGTACCCCGGGTCCTCCTTTTAGAATGTATCCAGAATGAACTACATAGAGCTTACGAAACAGTTAAAGCTTCAGCACAGAAATGATCAGTGATAGGGAATAAAGCTACAAGGTTCAGTTCCAATCTCTCTTGCTAGAAAATTGGTTCCAGGACAGTTGTGTCCTGAGTAGGTTCCTTTGATGCTCACCTTGTGGGGGCTATATAAACATGAAGCCAAGCACCATCCCTCTTGCAGTGACCACGAGAGAGGAGAGATGGAAAGGTAAGCCTTCGGTGTAAAATAAGCCGGAAGACGGGACGCCTGGGTGGCTCAGTCGGTTAAGCGTCTGCCTTGGGCTCAGGTCATGATCCCAGGGTCCTGGGATCGAGTCCCAAATCGGGCTCCCTGCTCAGTAGGAAGCCTGCTTCTCCCTCTGCCTGCCGCTCTCCCTGCTTGTGCTCTCTCTTGGTCAAATAAATAAAAGAATAATCTTAAAGTAAAATAAACCGGAAGACAAAGGTATCTCCAGGGAGGTTTGGGGCATGATTAAAAAGGGGCACATTGAGGGGCGCCTGGGTGTCTCAGTTGGTTAAGCGACTGCCTTTGGCTCAGGTCATGATCCTGGAGTCCCGGGATCGAGTCCCACATTGGGCTCCCTGCTCAGCAGGGGGTCTGCTTCTCTCTCTGACCCTCCTCTCTCTCATGCTCTCTCTCTGTCTCTCTCAATAAAAAAAACAAAAAACCTTTAAAAAGGGGCACATTGATATTGTCACCTCAGGCACTATTTATAAACGTTAATGGTAAAGGGTACGGATCCCAGTCTCTAGATTTAAAAACTGAGACTCAGGCGGGCCAAGTTCACACGCTTGCACTCAATTAACAATTCAGTGATAAAACTGGGCCTCAAAGCGACAAATCAAAGGCCAGTTTGCTGGTTCCCAGGGCGGTCGGCAATTCCTCGTCATAATCGGTTCCACCAAGACTTGGAATCCCTCAATGAAAGGAAAAGTGGCATAATGAAGCAGCATTCAACAGGGACCTTCTATTCAGCCCGACTCCCAGCCACCCTGGATCATTTTCTCAAACTATTTATTTCTGTGTGGTGGGGGTGGGAACATGGAGGACAAAATGGCACCTACTTACTCCATTTTGCTGCTCCCTGTGTGTCAGACTCACACCTGCTGACAGGAATGAGCCTCGGGTCTTCATGCCCCGCGGAGCTGGAGGTGGATTTTAACCTGCCCTTGCCCTCCCCACCGTCAGGAAGACTGTCAGCTTAGTTCTGATTTAAAAACAAACAAAAAACAAACAAAAAAAGGAAAAGAAAGAAAGAAAGGAACAAAGCAACTCCACAAACCTTTATTACTCAGCAGGTCACTAGAGGCGGAAGGAGAGCAGCTCAATTCTTCCTCTCACGTGGAGGGACCGGGGCTGGCAATTGAAAGGCCACCTTTTGACTTGTAAAACAGCAGCTAAATTGGCCATAGAGGCGCTTTCTTAGACAACGAGGAATAAGGGGCTCCCCTTTCTGTGTTCAACCTTCACGCTGTAAATATTCTTTTCACTGGGGAGAATGTCCGTTTGATGACATTTATTGTGGGGACATGTAGAGTACTGCTCATGGTTGGTTGACATGGAGCATTCATTTGACCAGAAAAATAATGTTCACCTCCAATGGAGTATAAAACAAATGAATGTAATGTGCTGTTCTTACTGCCAATAGGCTCTGATTGGGAATTGCTACTTTGTTTTCCCATTAATGCCAATAGGCTGGTACTTATGCTTAGCCAGTCTCCCGGCCCCAGACATTCTGGAGGACAGCCATTTGTAAGCGTTGTGCCAGTCACTCTTGCAGAGAGCAAAGGTGACTTGTTATGTGTGGCTTAAACTAACCTTGTTTTCCTTCGTACCTTGCTCTAGGATGCTAAGCCCATGTGGCAAAGGGGCACTGCCTGTGGGATCTATTCAGATTTAGCCGATCCTGGGAAAAACTTTCTCTGGAGACAGGATTCAAGTGATTTCCCCACTGTGTTGGAATAGTTGACCTTTACTTGCACACTCATTAAGTGGCTAGTGATTGTGCTTTTTTGCCTCTCTCCTAGAGTTGCTTTGGGATATTGAGAAAGGGGGCACAATTCAAGAGCAAATTGCTCTGATTAATAGTATATTTATAGTTCAGTCTATCAAGGTCATTTCCCTAGATGCTAGCCTTTCTTTATGAAGACAGAAATACTGTGTCAGTGTCTGTCTATCCCTAGAAGAGGCGGGAGGCCAATGAGGAAGGCAAGCAGTTACGAGTGGGATGCATATTTATTTACATAAATATGTATATTTAGCAGCTTGGTGCCACACATATATCTGGTCCAGCTTTTTCTTACCCTGAAATTTCTCTTAGGTCACCTCAGTTCCCGCTTAGACTATTTTTGGGGGAAACAAATCCATCCCATTAAAGAATTTTATTCTGTTTCTGTCTCACCCCTGACCGAGCTAAGCATCTGGTGGGACTACTTTTTAAAAATGGACTTTTAGGGGCGCCTGGGTGGCTCAGTCTGCCTTTGGTTCAGGTCGTGATCCCAGGGTCCTGGGATCGAGCCCCGCATCAGGCTCCCTGCTCCGTGGGAGGCCTGCTTCTCCCTCTCCCACTCCCCCTGCTTATGTTCCCTCTCTTGCTGTGTCTCTCTCTGTCAAATAAATAAATAAATAAATCTTTAAAAAAAATAAAAAATAAAAATGGACTGGGTGGCTCGATCAGTTAAGCATCTGCCTTCGGTTCAGGTCATTATCCCAGGGTCCTGGGAAGGAGTCCCGCATCGGGCTCCCTGCTCAGTGGAGACTCTGCTTCTCCCTCTCCCTCTGCCCCCACCCCGCCCTGGCTAGTGCTCTCTCTCTCTCAAATAAATAAATAAAATCTTTAAAAAATAAATAAAAATAAAAATTGACTTCTAAATCACACAAGCTTGTGAAGCTTGAGAACCAAAGCCTACTTCTATGACTTAAAGGAAAGGCGCCCGCACAACACAGCCCTCTCCTTGAACAGGATGAGGGAGATTACAGGTGTCTGTGACACTGGGAGAACAGAGTGCCTGGGAGTCTTAAGTTACTGGAAAACAAGTTAAAACAGTTACCTTCATGTTTCCTTGCTGTTAACAGTCACATTTATGTAAAGAAGACATTACCTCAGAGTCAGTCATGCCGCCTTCAGGAACCTTGAGGTTCCTGTTCGATCCCAACATCCCTTCTCAAGGGAGTATAATTCCCTGAGTGCTTGGGTAGAAATAGAATGACCTCATTTCCAAAAAGCTCCAAGAGACCAGCAACCATACTTGTGTAATTTTTATGCATAACGCCTAGAGTAATATATTTAATATTCACTTTTGTGTTTACCTTGAGAATTTTGGTGACAAATTTAGATACAAACATTTCCTTCATGTATTCATTTCATACATGTTTAGTAGCTCTATAGAGATAAATGATACAGTACCTGCCTTCAAAAGTAATAGCAGTTTTTGAGTGATTCCTATGTGCCAGACACCATTTGAAATATTTTAGTAGCTTTTCTCATTCAGTCTTTACAACAGTTTCATAAGACAGATATTGTTATGACCTCCACTTTGCAGATGGCAAAACTGAGGCACAGGTGAGCAGTTTTCTAATGTCATAGAACTAGGATGTTGCAGAGTCTAAATTGGAATCCAGGTGATCTTGCTCCAGAGCCTGAATTCTTAACCATTGTACTTGATTGACATGGAAGTGCCTTGGGTCTAAAGAGAGAAAACAGACAAATGTACTATGATTGAAGGAATGTGAGAAACCAGAGAGTATTTATCTATTGATCCATGCTACTTGGGACCATGACATACATTTTTAATCAAACTCCCAGCTTTGTATGAGACTGAAAACCATGCCTGGCAAGTACTTCAGCCTAATCCACATTAGGTAGAAACATGCAGACAAGGGGCGCCTGGGTGGCTCAGATGGTTGAGCGTCTGCCTTTGGCTCGGGTCATGATCCCGGGGTCCTGGGATCGAGCCCCGCATCGGGCTCCTGACTCGGCGGGGGGCCTGCTTCTCCCTCTCCCTCTGCCTCTCTCCCTGCTCATGCTCTCTCTCTCTCTCTATCTCTGTGTCTCAAATGAATAAATAAAATATTAAAAAAAAAAAAAAAAGAAAGAAAGAAACATGCAGAAATAAAAGTTGTTGAAGGAGAGATGTTCCAGAGGAGGAGTTAGATTGAGACCAAGGACAGAGTTCTAACAGAGGATCCAGTATCAGTTCATCAAGGCCAGATACAAGACTGTGTGGGAGACGGAAACAAAGGGAGTTGGTGACAGGTCACAAGAGGCCATGCATGCCATGCCAAGAAGTTAGGGTTTTATCTTGAAGGATTTGCACTTTAGAGGGATCACTCTTGGCTGCACGATGGAGAGGAGATTAGAGAAAGACAAAATGGAGGCAGACAGACTTATCAGGAGACACTTGCAGTCATCCTGGTCAGAGGAGGCAGGGGCTAGGAAATGGAAATAAGTGAATGGATTTCAGAGATATTTGAAGGTTTAATTGTCAGGCTTGATTGGAAATGGGGTACAAATAAGGGAGAAGTTGAGAATGACACCCACATTTCTGCATTAGGCAACTGGTTGAATGGCTGGACCATTTGCTGGCACAGGGAACCTGGCAGAAAGAACAGGTTGGGAGGGGAAAGCAGGTGAGTTTGGAGCAGTTGAGTTTGAAGAGCATGAAGTGCCTATAAATCATCTAAGTGGAAATGTTTGGAAGACAGATTGATATGGATTTAAGTATGAAGCTCAGAAGGGAGGTCGAAGAATTATAGATCTGGGAGTCACAGGCAAATAGATGGTAACTAAAGCCAAGGGAGAGGATGGGGCCACCCAGGACAAGTGTGTAGATTGAGAAAGGTAGAGGACCCAGTACAGAACCCCAAGAGAAAGGGACAGCCAGTGGAAGAAGAGCTTAAAAAGAAGAAGGTACATACAGCCAGAGAGGTAAAAAGAAAATCCAGCTGAGTAAAGAGCACAACTCAAGAGATAGTGAACAATAGTGTCAAATACTGAGAGGTGAAGAAATGAATGGAGTGAGCAGTGTCCCTAGGATTTTGCAATTAGGAGGTCTTTGGTATCCTTGGTGTCAGCACTGAAAGAAGTGTTGGTGGTATAAACTGAGATGTGGTGGGGTGGAGAGTGGGAGGTAAATTCATGACACCAAATGTAGACAATTCCTTAAGACTTCTGGCTGAGAAGGGGAAGAGGAAGAATGGGGCAGGGGCCATGGGAGAGGTTTTTTTTTTTTTAAGATTTTATTTATTTGTTTGACAGAGACATAGAGAGTGAGCACAGATAGGCAGAGAGGCAGGCAGAGGGAGAGGGAGAAGCAGGCTCTCCACTGAGCAGGGAGCCTGATACGGGCTGGATCCCAGGACCCCAGGATCATGACCTGAGCTGAAGGCAGACGCTTAACCGACTGCGCCATCCAGGCACCCCGGTTTTTTTGTTTTTATTCATTAAGCAGAGATTTGAGCATTTCAATATTGATGAATGTATTTAGTAGGTGAGGGAAAGGCAGACAATGAAGAGGGAGGGAGCAATCAATAGTGCAAGATTCCTGAGAAAGTGGGAGGGTTTGGAATCCAAACCCTGGGTTCTACCCAGGAGGATGGGATATGCCTGGTGGGGGCCAGGGTTTAGAAATGGTGGGGGGGGGGGCACCTGGGTGGCTCAGTTGGTTAAGCGACTGCCTTCGGCTCCGGTCGTGATCCCAGGGTCCTGGGATCGAGCCCCGCATCGGGCTCCCTGCTCAGCGGAAAGCCTGCTTCTCCTTCTCCCACTCCCCCTGCTTGTGTTCCCTCTCTCGCTGTGTCTCTCTGTCAAATAAATAAATAAAATCTTAAAAAAAAAAAAATGGTGGTGGGAAGTTGAGTTGGTTATCATTGGGTGGCTTATACTTTCCCTATCAGCAGATGTTGAGTCATTTGCTAGGAGTGAAGGGGAAGTGACACGTGTGGGTGGGAGGGATGGTGGCAGATTTGCAGAGAGCAGAGGACATGTGAGAGAGCTGATTTGGAGAATGGAAGAGAACATGTTACAAGGGTCCCAACTGGGTCTAGAGTAAAGTCGGAGAGCCTCCCCGACTGAGATGTACACTTTCAGCCAAATTCCCTGCTTTGAATGAGACTCAGGAGCTTGCCTGGGAAAGTACCTTATCCTGCTCCATAAATACGTTTGAAACATGCATAGACATGTCAGGTACTTGACTGGTCTTGGAACAAATAAATATTTCTTAGAATTAATATTCATTAATGACTCATTAATGATTCATTCTAAGTATTGTGCTTATAGTGGATATGCAGATTCCACAAATCTCATCTTTTCATTAGATTTTAATATCATGACATTGGAATAACTGATATAAAGGGGTGATACTGACTGATAGTTAAGAGCACAGACTTGGGAGTCAATCAAACTTGGGGTTCAATCCTGATTAGGCTACCTATCAGCCATGTGCCCTAAAGCAAGACAATCTCTTGTCTGTAAAATGAGGATGATAAGAAAACTTACCTCATAAGGTTGTTAATGGAGACGATGTATTTGGTGCGATAATATACTAATATATTAACTTTTAAGTTATTAACAAATTTCCTTCCTGGAACTGTTCCTTGTGATCTATTCCATGAAGTAGAGATGGGGCCGGAGGGTAAGGAGGACCAGAGAGAAAAAAAAAGGAGAAAAGGGGTGTTTTCCTAATTTGGAAATCCCTTAAACCATTAATAGGATTATTCTAGGCAGGGACGCCTGGGTGGCTTAGTCGGTTGGGCGTCTGCCTTCGGCTCAGGTCGTGATCCCAGGGTCTTGGGATCAAGTCCCACATCGGGCTCCTTACTCGGCGGGGAGCCTGCTTCTCCCTCTGCCTGCCTCTCTCCCTGCTTGTGCTCTGTCTCTCTCTCCCTGACAAATAAATAAATAAAATCTTAAAAAAAAAAACAAGAGATTATTCCAGGCAATATTTCTGAAGCCAGTAGCAAGAGAAAGATTGTCTCTGGGGCAAGTGATTTTTTTCTGAGAAGTAGAAAAGATTCCCTCTTTCATGGACAGAAGGAAAAGGAGCTGAGAGAGAAGGATGTAGGGGAAGAGGGAAGGTTGTCACTGGAGAGAAGTCCAGACTTATCAGAACCAAGCCTATAGGAATGAGGGCTAACTCAGCTAAGAGGACACTCTACTAATGATCTATGCTCTGTAACAATTTACCCCCCAAATTTGCAGTTGAAGGAAGCAAACAGTTATTTCATAGTTTCTGAGTGCCAGGAACCTAGAGTGGCTTAGCTGAGTGATTTTAGCTAAGATCTCTCATGAGATTGCAGTGAAGCCGTTGGCTTGGCTGCCATCATCTGAAGACTTGAACAGAGCTGGAGAATCTACTCCCGAGCTCACTTACGTGGCTGTTAGCACGAAGCCTGGTTCTCAGCATGTGCATCTCTCCATGTAGGTACTCAAGAAATGGCAGCTGGCTTCCTCCAGAGTAAGGAATCTGAAACAGAGAAGAGGAGAGAAACCAAGACAGAAGTCCAGGGTCTTTTATTACTTAATCTTGGTTGTGTCATATCATCACTTCTGCCCTATTCTTCTGCTGTATTATGTCCCTGGTTCAACGTGGGCGGGGACTGTACAAGAACATGACTACCAGATGAGGATCAGTGAGGGTTATTTTGGAGCCTGGCTATCAGAGACACAGTGAGGGGTTTGCTGGAGCAGCCAGACATGAGTGGGAGCAAACCACCCTGACTTTCCTGGAATTTTGTTCCTCATCTACGGCTCTGCCAATTCAACTTCCTCTTGGCATCATTTGAAGACTTCTCTTTAACAGCAGACTTCCCCTCATCACACAGGGCTTTCCAGCAGAAGTGATGGCCACCAAGCTCTGTGACTTCACTCGTTCCTGCTTAACCTTGTGTACATGACCCCCATCTTGCAATGAGCCCCAAGAAGGGAGCCTGGATTTATCCACGGGCAGGTGTACTCAGGAAACTGCCTTCCTCTCTGGGATTATACTTAAACATACTCTAACTTGGGGGCGCCTGGGTGGTGCAGTGGGTTGAGCATCCAACTCTTGGTTTCGGCTCAGGTTGTGGTCTCAGGGTCTCAGGGTCAGCTCAGGTTGTGGTCTCAGGATCGATCCCCATGTGGGGTTCCATGTTCAGCATGGATTGGGATTCTCCCTCCCTCTTCCTCTGTCCCTCCCGCTCATTCTCTCTATCTCAAATAAATAAATTTAAAAAAACCCAGCATACTCCAATTTCATGATAATAGCTAATTTTACCAGGTGTGTATTTATCAGAAACTATGAAATAGACTCGCCTTTCAGATGAGGAGATTAAGGTCCGGAGAAGTTAAGTGACTTGGTGAAGGTAATAAATAATAGATGGTGAAACCAAGCTTTGAAACCTATCAGCCTGGTTCTAAATTCATGATCTCAGCTTCTATCCTATATATTCAGCACAGAGTCCAGCGCTAGTAAGTATTCAATAAATGTTGGTCATTATTATCAATTTTCTCAGTGGAAGAAAAGGTACCTTCTAGATTCAAGAAGCTGAAGAATTGGTGTAGTCTATATTCTAAAAGGTAAAGGTTATGTTTTTCTTACTTTTTTTGTACTCTCATTGACAACCCAACAAAGCTTATAAAAAGTTGTATTTACCAAATAGCCATTTTGATCCATGTGCTCACTGACTTGCTCAGTGGTGGATCTAAATTGGCTATGATTCCCATTTGTTTTACCTTCTGTTTATATGGCTTCAATAACCCCAAGTCATTCTTTCAAGTGTTAGTGTCAAGAGCTGCCAATTCTCTTGCCTCAACTGTAACCCACCCTGCTGCCTTCCTTGAGGGCTCTGAAATAAGTAGGGGGTCTGCCATGTTTGAAGTTGGCCTCCACACCAAATCTGAGCTGTGTGACCTTGGGCAAGGTACTTCGGGTTGCTGAGCGCTGTTTCCTCTTTGGAAAATGGGACTCTTGGGAGAATTCAATGAGATAAGACATGTAAAACATTTAGCACAGTGCTTATCACAGAGGAGACGATCTTAGTTAAAGACCATTCTCTCTTTCTCCCAGTAGGGTTTAATTGCTCCAGTCATTGTGGTCCCAAATCATTTTTGTTTTGCCAGCTTATGGCATCCCAAATTCAGCAGATGATATTTAAAAGCATAAGTGTGCCTAGTGATAACGCTATTTGTTTTGTATTTTGTTTACAGTCAAGCCTAATCTCCCCCAATATATTCCCTGAGAGCAGAGGCTATTTCTTATTCATACTTATATTTTCGTTCCCTGTAGTGCTGAGCAAAATGACTGGCATGTGGTAGTATTTAATACCTATCTACTGACCTAAATTGAAATCAGAGGGTTTGGAAGGGATTGGAACTAAAACAAAATAGGAAATGCTTGAAATAAAAGGTGGGTTTTGGGAGAGGGGAAATTTGTATTTCCAGGAAACATTTCATGTGCTCTGTATAGATTTTCACATTATATATCATGCAGTATCCTCCATGTACATCTTCAAATCAATTAAATAACATTTTAAGTCTTTAAAGGAATATTGGTGGCAGAAATAGAGATTCATCTTTTGAAAATATTTAATATTTTATTTCACAAGCTGAAATGATATGAACACCTAATACTGGAGAAATTATACCATTACTCATATTAATGATTTAACTGGTTTCCCAGAGTAAGTATTTCAGTTTTATTATTGCTTTAAGAGAATTCTTAGAGAGAAAAAGAATTTACCTAGAGGGAGTCAATTTATAGTCTCCATTCAACTAATAGGACACTTGATAATAGATCCCTGATAAATATGAATGGGACAAGGAGCCCAAGGCATTTTGCTTTCTCTTCCCTATTGTCTAGTTACACCTGAGTGTAACAAAATATCACCCCTGGATCAACCCAACCATCTGATTCTTCTAGGCCCACATCTGTTGCTTGGCAGCCTGGGGTTGCTGCCTCCTGTTTGGGTGTTCAGGGTCGTGGTTCTTTTTAATCTCCCCGTGCAATGGCACTACCCTTCATTCAATGATGTGTGTCCTGTCCAAGAAATGCCTGATTAAAATTATTTCGTTTTCCTAGGTATCTCCCATGTATGTAGGACATATACATGTTATTAAATCTTTTGGTTTTCTCTTGTTTAAAACAAAAAAGAAAGAAAGAAATGCCTGGTCATGGCATAGCTCTTGCAACCTCTTGGGAGGGGATTGGGGTGCTCTCTACCCCCTTCAATGCCATAGAGATGCACTGACTTTTTTAAAAGGCTGAGTCAGGATGGGTTCACAAACAAAATTATGTTTCTCTTTCTTAGGTTGTATTATTGAGTTGGGTCCACTGTTCCAGCCTTCTCCCTCCCTCATGGTGATTTTTTTCCACTCAAGGTTTCCACCATCCACCTCTGCAGTCTGGCTTCTCCTGTTGGGGGGAGGGGGTAAGAAGGAGCTCAGGGAAATGGGGGAGGAGATCTGTCAATGCACATTACTTGGTAATCATGTTTTCTGAGTGAAAAGTTTATTGGTTTGTTTTTAGGCAGAGTCAAAATGTTCCCATATCAAAACAGCCACTTCAAGGCGGCCACATCAAGATGTTCCTGGCATCAAAATGACTGTGTCAAAGCTGTGTGTCAGCAAATTGACTATAACTAAACAGCCTGTATCAAAATGGCTGTAGCCTTACATTGGCACAGGACTTGCCATCAAAGGAATGCTTTCCAGAATGTCAGTGCTGTTTAGGGTAAGATAAGATGAAAAGTTGTTTCTTTCCATTGATGCTCCCCCTTTCAGTTGGGAGCCGGACTTCACCACATGGGACTGGAAGACAAAGAAGCACCGCTTTTTATTCCTAGTGATCTAGTGCCTTCTGTGAGAAAGAATTAGGCACAAATGAACAAAGATGATCCTGCTTTTACCATGGAAATTGTGAAACTCCCATACTAATTTTATAATCATGCCTTTACACTTTGTTCTCATCACAAAAATCTTTGGGAATTATCTACTAAGAATCAGCCAAAAAATTTATGCCAACACGAAATTAAGGCAGACTGGAGTCACTTGCCCACTGCGTACCGCTCCTGTGATCAATCACAAGCCCGAAGACCCATACCACAGGCAAATGCCCTTAACCGCTGCCTCTTCAGACCCCCTGTTAGGTTATAAAACCTTTCCGGGAAGGTTTGTTGTTGTTTTAAGATTTATTTTTATTTTATTTTTTTAAAGATTTTATTTATTTATATGACAGAGACACAGCGAGAGAGGGAACACAAGCAGGGGGAGAGGGAGAAGCAGGCTTCCCGCGGAGCGGGGAGCCCAATGCAGGGCTCCATCCCAGGACCCTGGGATCATGACCTGAGCCAAAGGCAGACGCTTAACGACTGAGCCACCCAGGCGCCCCTTAAGATTTATTTTTAAAGTAATCTCTACACCCAACGTGGGGCTTGAACTCACAACCCCAAGATCGATCACATGTTCTACCCACTGCGCCAGCGCCCCCCCCCCCCCGCCCAACCTGGAAGGTTTGCTATTAGAAAGCTTTTTTTTTTAAGATTTTATTTTTTTTTATTTATTTGACAGAGACACAGCGAGAAAGGGAACACAAGCAGCGGGAGTGGGAGAGGGAGAAGCAGGCAGCCTGATGCGGGGCTCAATCCCAGGACCCTGGGATCATGACCTGAGCTGAAGGCAGACGCTTAACGACTGAGCCACCCAGGCGCCCCTAGAAAGCTTTTTTGACCTGTCTCTTCAGGCTCAGAAAGCTTATAGATCAGGCAGAATGTTGCACTGGGTTTGTTATATAGAATGAGCATGGCTCTGTCCCTAACTTAACTGTCTCACCTTTTCCTTGACTTTTGACGTATCACGCTCTCTTGGCTTTTTCTTGCCTCGCCGGCTGCTCCTTCTCAGTCATTTTCTGTCTTCCATTTCTCTATCTGACCTCTAAATGTTGGAGTGCCTCAGTGCTCAGTCCTGCGCTCTCTTCTCTAAGAATAACTCTCTCCCTCGGAGAGCTCATTCAGTTCTGTGACTTTAAATAGCATCTGTGTGCTGATTGCTCCAAATATATATTTCCAGCCCTAACCTTTCCCAGGATGCCAGATTCACATATCCAATATCCTTACGTGAATATCTAAGAGGCATCTCAAATTTATAGGTCCAAAATATTTCCCTACCCAAGTCTGTTCTTCTAGTCTTCTCCATCTTGGTGTCAAATGAACTACGTAGCTGCCCAAGCCACAAACACAGAAGTTATCCCTGATTCTTTTTCTCACCTGATTCTTTTTCTCATATATATATATATATATATATATATATAAATACTACTAAACATATATATATATATAAATACTACTAAACAGACAATTCCCAACTTATGATGGTTCGACTTAGGATTTTTCAACTTTACAATGGTCCAACAGTGCTATGTGTTCAGTAGGAACCATACTTTGAATTTTGAATATTGATCTTCTCCTAGGCTAGTGACAGGGGTAGAGGTACTAAACTCTCTCATGATGCTGGACAGGGGCAGCAAGCTACAGCTCCCACTCAGCCATGTGATCATGAGGGTCAACAACGAGTACACTTACATCCGTCGTGTACCCATACATCTATTCTGTTTTTCACTTTCAGTACAGTGTTGAATAAATGACATAAAATACTCAACACTTCATTATAAGACAGACTTTGTGTTAAATGATTTGTCCAACCGTAGGTTAATGTAAGTGTTCTGAGCACATTTATGATAGGCTAGGCTAAGCTATGATGTTTGGTGGGTTAGGTGTATTAAATACATTTTCTACTTATGATATTTTCAACTTACAACAGGTTCCACTGGGACGTAAACCCATTGTAAGTCGAGGTAGGCCTGTAGTTCTACCTTCAAAACATATCTGGACTATATTGCCTTCCTTTGTCCTCCACTGCCACAATCCTAATCTAAGCCACCATCATCTCTTACCAGGACTATTGCAATGGCCTCTTAGCAATTCTCCCCCTTTCTTTTCTGGCTCCTTCTCATCACTTAGGTCTCAGATGACAGGTCAAGGCTCAGAGAGGACTTCCCAAACAACCCTATTGGGAGAACCTTTCTTTCCCCTGTTCTCCAACAACTCACCGTGATGACTATCTTCATAGAACTCACAACAATGTATAATTTTTTTTTTTTTGAGATTCCATTTATTTGTGAGAGAGAGAATGAGAGACAGAGAACATGAGAGGGAGGAGGGTCAGAGGGAGAAGCAGACTCCCTGCTGAGCAGGGAGCCCGATGTGGGACTCGATCCCGGGACTCTAGGATCATGACCCGAACCGAAGGCAGTTGCCTAACCAACTGAGCCACCCAGGCGCCCACAACAATGTATAATTATCTATTTCCTTCCTATTGACCATGGCCCCTGCTAGAATATAAGCTCCATGGGAGCAGGGAGTTGAACTCTTTTCTTCTCCACTCAGTTTTCAGGATTTATCACAGTGCCTGTCCCACAGTAGGCTCTTGACAAGTATTTGGTGGAAAGAATGAATTCAAGTCTTTACAAAACAGAAAATCTCATTGGGATTCCAGAAATTTAGGAACTGTCAATATTTGTTGTTGCTAGAAACACCCCATTCAGATTGGCAATATATATACATATATCAAATATGGGGAATGTTTATTTTTTATTTTTTTGAAGATTTTATTTATTTATTTGAGAGAGAGAGACACAGCGAGAGAGGGAACACAAGCAGGGGGAGAGGGAGAGGGAGAAGCAGGCTTCCCAATTGAGCAGGAAGCCCAATGTCGGGCTCGATCCCAGGACCCTGGGACCATGACCTAAGCTGAAGGCAGATGCTTACCGACTGAGCCACCCAAGCGCCCCCAGGAATGTTTATTTAAAGGCATTAAATTAAGACTATTTTAAGGTCCAGTACTAAATAATTCTGTAAAGACTACAGCTTACTTTGTCCCAACCGGAACACCGGGATGGTGACTATTTGTGTTTATTGGTACCACCTGGTTCAGTCACCGATCATTAACAATAACTAAAGGTGGGCACCTGGGTGGTTCAGTTGGTTTAGTGACTGCCTTCGGCTCAGGTCATGATCCCGGGGTCCTGGGGTCGAGCCCCACATCGGGTTCCTGGCTCAGCAGAGAGCCTGCTTCTCCCTCTGACCCTCTATCCTCTCATGCTGTTTCTCTCTCGCTTGTTCTCTAATAAATAAATAAATAAAATCTTTAAAACAAAACAATAACTAAAGGTGTTCTTTTACATAGGTGTTTGTTTTTTAAGATTTTATTTATTTATTTGAGAGAGAGCAATAGAGCACAAGCAGGGGGAGCTGCAGAGGGAGAAGCAGGCTCCCCACTGAGCAGGGAGCCTGACGTGGGGCTCGATCCCAAGACCCCAGGTTCATGACCTGAGCTGAAGGCAGCTGCCCAACCAACTGAGCCACCCAGGCACCCCCTACATAAAGTTTTATAAAAGATTTAGTTGGGAAGGGGCACCTGGGTGCCTCAGTCGTTAAGCGTCTGCCTTCAGCTCAGGTCATGATCCCAGGGTCCTGGGACTGAACCTCATGTCGGGTTCTTTGCCCGTGGGGAGCCTGCCTCTCTCTCTCCTCCCTGCTCATGCTCTCTCTCGCTCTCTCTCAAATAAATAAAATCTTTAAAAAAAATTGGGAAATACAGGAAGAAAAGAGAAAAAGTAATTGAGGAGGAAGCATGGGGAAAGAAGACTGAGCAAAGTGTCAGGAGGCTTAACTTTGGGTTGGTGGAAATAGAGCAAGGAAATCAAGTTTTCGGTTTTAAATTGGTTACTAAAGAGTGTTGCATATTTGCCAAGTAGCTCCCCTATGTGGCACGCATTATCTTCGAATCTCCAGGAAGAGTCTACTACACACAGCTGCCTCTCATGAACTTAAGGTGGGAAATTTAGGAAGAGAAGCTGCAACCCACCCTTGGGTCACTGCCAGTTGAACATAAAGGAACAGCTGCAAGATGCAGAGTGAAGAATGGGAATTCTACAGAAGCCAGAAATCAAACCCTGAGGTTACCAAGAGAATGGAGAGCTCAGAAAAGCTGCAGGGAGTTGGGGGAGAGCATTGGTTTTCCCCTCAGACATGGGATGGGGTTTCCAGATAAGCTTATGTAAATCTCAAGGTGATATCACTTAGCAAACACTCCAGGAGCCCCTGACTAGGTGAATCAGCTCATAAATATTAATCACTCCTTACCATAGTATTAGTCCTCATTAGGGATGATAGGTTCTGCCTGTTCCAATTTGGATACTCTCTTCATTCTATCTTGCTTTATTTGTTTCTATTTTCCCCTATGGTTCCATACTCCACCCTAGACCATGTAAGCCACACTGAGAGGTCACTGTTTTTTTTATTATTCCTAGAATTGGTTAGCCAGAGCAAAAAATTAAATTTATGAACTCTATGTGGTGGGAGAAGTCTAGTGAAAACTAAATTTTAAGCAATAATACATAGAAAACCAAAAAGTTTCTATAAAGAGCATATTCAATTCAAGTACATCATTTGTTCATTGAACTCAACAAATATTTATGTGCCAGATACTCTACTAGGTTCTTGAACTTTAAATGAATAAAACCCAAATACTTCTCTTGATGAGTTCACAGTCCAATGGGGTTATATAAACAAATAATTACAATGCAGTATGGTAAGCACAAGATATGGTAATAATCACAGCATTTATGAGATCATTGAAGAGCGACACCTAGTTAAGCCTGCCAGAGTTAGGGATGGTGTTTTGAATGAGCTGGCAACTGAGCTGGATCTCAAAGGATGTGAAGAGTTAGTCAGGTAGAGATGGGGAGGGAAATTAGGTTTGGGGTTGGAGTAGGAGAGGTGAATGGAAGTGGAGATGTGCCTTCTAGAAAGGACACCATTGACAAAGTTGTGAAGGAAAAAAAATGCATAGGCTACATAGGAAACTCCAAGCAGTTTTGGGTTGCTGAAGGCAAGAGTAAGTTGTAAATGAAGCTAGAGAGAAAGGTAAGGGCTAGACAATGGTGGGCTCTGAATGCTATGTTAAAAAGAGTAGACCAGGGGCGCAGTGGGTTAAGCATCTGCCTTCAGCTCAGGTCATGATCCCAGCGTTCTGGGATCGAGCCCCACGTCAGGCTCCCTGCTCAGTGGGAAGCCTACATTTCTCTCTCCCTCTGCCTGCGGCTCCCCCTGCTTGTATTCTCTCTCTGTCAAATAAATAAATAAAATCTTAAAAAAAAAAAAAAAAAAAGAAGAGTAGACCAGGTTGCCTGGGTAGCTCAGTCCATTAAGTGTCTGCCTTCAGCTCAGGTCGTGATCCCAGGGTTTGAACCCCCATTGGGCTCCCTGCTCAGCAGGAAGTCTGCTTCTCCCTCTGCCCCTCACCCAGCTTGTGCTCACTGGCTCTCTCTCAAATAAATAAGGAAAAATCTTTTTTAAAAAAAGATTTTTTTTGACATTTATTTGACAGAAAGAGAGCACAAGTAGGCAGAGCAGCAGGCAGAGGGAGAGGGAGAAGCAGGCTCCTCGCTGAGCTGGGAGCCCGATGCGGGGCTTGATCCCAGGCACCCCAAATAAATAAAATCTTAAAAAAAAAAAAAGAGTAGACCATCCTGTCTGCAATGGACAAACACTTGAGGGTTTTAAGGCAGAGGAGTGGCATGACAAGATTTTCAAGTAAATTACTTCAGTGACTGTGGAAAAGGGTTGTAGCATCTGTGGTTGTACCAAGTTTAAGGCAGACAAAACAAAGGAGACTTGTTAGCAAACTGCTGTTCTAGTCTAGGGAAAAGATGAAGAGTGGGGCACCTGGGTGGCTCAGTTGGTTAAGCATCTGCCTTCAGTTCATGGCCTTGATAACTGGGTCCTTGGATCCAGCCCCACATCGCAAGGGCTCCCTGCTCAGTGGGCAATCTGCTTCTCCCTCTGCCTCTGCCACTCCCCCTACCTGTGCTCTCTCTCTCTCCCTTTCTCTGCGTCAAATAAATAAATGAAATCTCTAAAAAAAAAAAAA